CACTAGTCACCCTCTCTCTCACTCTGTCACTAGTCACCCCCTCCCTCACTCTGTCACTAGAGTGAGGGGGTGACTAGTGACAGAGTGAGGGGGTGACAGAGTGAGGGAAGGGGATGACTGGTGACAGAGTGAGGGAGGGGATGACTGGTGACAGAGTGAGGGAGGGCGTGACTAGTGACAGAAGGAAGGAGGGAGTAGTGACAGAAGGAGGGAGGGAGTAGTGACAGAGGGAGGTGGTGACTAGTGACAGTGAGGGAGGTGGTGACTAGTGACAGTCACCACCTCCCTCACTCTGTCACTAGTCACCCCTTCCTTCCCTCACTCTGCCACTAGTCATCCCTTCCCTCACTCTGTCACTAGTCACCCCCTCACTCTAGTGACAGAGTGAGGGAGTGACAGAGAGAGGGAAGGGGGTGACTAGTGACAGTGAGGGAGGGGGTGACTGTCACCAGTCACCCCATCCCTCTGTCACTAGTCACTCCCTCCTAACTCTGTCACTGTGTCACCTGCTCCCTCACTCTGTCACTAGTCACCCCCTCCCTCACTCTGTCACTAATCACACCCTCTGTCCTCAGTGACAGAGTTAGGGAGGGAGTGACTAGTGACAGAGAGAGGGATGGGGTGACTAGTGACAGTCACCCCCTCTCTCACTCTGTCACTAGTCACACCCTCTCTCACTCTGTCATTAGTCATCCCTTCCTTCCCTCACTCTGCCACTAGTCATCCCTTCCCTCACTCTGTCACCAGTCACCCCTTCCTTCCTTCACAATGACAGAGTTAGGGAGGGAGTGACTAGTGACAGAGAGAGGGATGGGGTGACTAGTGACAGAGAGAGGGATGGGGTGACTAGTGACAGAGAGAGGGATGGGGTGACTAGTGACAGAGTGAGGGAGGGGGTGACACAGTGACAGAGTAAGGGGGTGACACAGTGACAGAGTTAGGGAGGGAGTGACTAGTGACAGAGAGAGGGATGGGGTGACTAGTGACAGTCACCCCCCTCACTCTGTCACCTGTCATCCCCTCACTCTGTCACTGGTCACCCTTTCCCTCCCTCACTTTGCCACTAGTCATCTCTTCCCTCCCTCACTCTGCCACTAGTCACCCATTCCCTCACTCTGTCACTAGTCACCCACTCCCTCACTCTGTCACCAGTCACCCCCACTCACTGTGTCTCCCCCTCACTCTGCCACCACTCAACCCCTCCCTCACTCTGCCACCAGGTACCCCCTCACTCTGCCACCTGTCACAACCTCCCACACTCTTCCACCTGTCACCTTCTCCCTCATACACTCTGTCACCTGTCACATATGCATTCACACAGACACTATATACAAAAAGCACATGTAGTCATCCAGACATGCACAAGTGCATTCACACAGACTCAAATACAAACATGCATTGATACACGGGTCTTCACAATACACACATCCAAAGGAATGCCGTATTATGAATTATATTTAACATTTATTAAAATGCACATATATTTGGCCTTCAAAGGGCCTGGGATCTAATTTTGCCCGGGGGCCCCAAAGGCTCTCAGTCCGCCCCTGTGTGTATACAACATTCTGTGTGTGTGTGTGTATCTAACAGTCTCTGTATGTGTGTGTATTCAGTGTACTGTGTTTATGCACTCTGTATGTGTGTATATATTTAGCAGCCTGTGTGTACTCAGCAGCCTGTCTGTGTGTGCTCAGCAGTCGGTCTGTGTGTGTACTCAGCAGTCTGTTTGTGCGTGCGTGTGTACTCAGCAGTATGTGTGTGCGTGTATTTAGCAGCCGGTGTGTATGTTTTGCATTTGTTGGAGGTACAAATAAATATACGCTTCATGTCAACGATAATTTATCGATAATACAGGTCTGTGTATAATATCATGGGACAGTCACTGTTTCATGTATAGTGCTGCTCTCTGTCCCAGGATATTATACAGAGAACAGCACTATACACTTATACTATACAGGAAGCACTGACTGTCCAAGGATATTATACACACATAGATCTGTATTATACAGTTAGTGCTCCCTGTATAGTGCTGCTCTCTGTATTATACAGGTCATTGTGTGAGTAATATCATGGGAAAGTCAGTGCTCCCTGTATAGTGCTGCTTTCTGTACAGTACAGGTCTGTGTGTATAATATTCTGGGACAATCAGTGATCCCTGTATAGTGCTGCTCTCTGTATAATACAGGTCTGTGTGTATAATATCCTGGGACAGTCAGTGATTCCTGTATAATACAGGTCTATGGGTGTATAATATCCAGGGAGATGCAGTGCTCCCTGAATAGTGCAGATCTCTGTATAATACAGGTATGTGTCTGTATAATATTCCAGAATAGTCAGTGCTCCAGGTATAGTGCTGCTTTCTGTATAAAACAGGTATGTGTGTATAATATCATGGGACAGTCAGTTCCCCCTGTATAGTGCTGCTCGCTGTATAATACAGGTCTGTGTGTATAATAAGCTGGGACAGTCAGTGCTACCTGTATAGTGCTGCTCTCTGTATAGTACAGGTATGTGTGTATAATATCCTGGAACAGTCAGTGCTCTCTGTATAGTGCTGCTCTCTGTATAATATATGTCTTTGGGTGTATAATATTCAGGGAGAGTCAGTGCTCCCTGTATAGTGCTGCGCTCTGTTAATACAGGTCTGTGTGTATAATATCCTGGGACAGTCCGTTCCCCCTGTATAGTGCTGCTCGCTGTATAATACAGGTCTGTGTGTATAATAAGCCGGGACAGTCAGTGCTCCCTGTATAGTACAGGTATGTGTGTATAATATCCTGGGACAGTCAGTGCTCCCTGTATAGTGCTGCTCTTTGTATAATATATGTCTATGGGTGTATAATATCCGGGGAGAGTCAGTGCTCCCTGTATAGTGCTGCTTTCTGTATAAAACAGGTATGTGTGTATAATATCATGGGACAGTCAGTTCCCCCTGTATAGTGCTGCTCGCTGTATAATACAGGTCTGTGTGTATAATAAGCTGGGACAGTCAGTGCTACCTGTATAGTGCTGCTCTCTGTATAGTACAGGTATGTGTGTATAATATCCTGGAACAGTCAGTGCTCTCTGTATAGTGCTGCTCTCTGTATAATATATGTCTTTGGGTGTATAATATCCAGGGAGAGTCAGTGCTCCCTGTATAGTGCTGCGCTCTGTTAATACAGGTCTGTGTGTATAATATCCTGGGACAGTCCGTTCCCCCTGTATAGTGCTGCTCGCTGTATAATACAGGTCTGTGTGTATAATAAGCCGGGACAGTCAGTGCTCCCTGTATAGTACAGGTATGTGTGTATAATATCCTGGGACAGTCAGTGCTCCCTGTATAGTGCTGCTCTTTGTATAATATATGTCTATGGGTGTATAATATCCGGGGAGAGTCAGTGCTCCCTGTATAGTGCTGCTCTCTGTTAATACAGGTCTGTGTGTATAATATCCTGGGACAGTCAGTGCTTCTTGTATATTGTTGCTCTCTGTAGAATACAGGTCTGTGTGTATAATAAGCTGGGACAGTCAGTGCTCCATGTATAGTGCTGCTCTCTGCATAATACCCACAGACTCCAGGAACTAGAAGAATCCGATGCAGTGGAGTGGTGACTGAAGCCTCAAGCTAAGACATTCAACATGTTGAATTGGGGACATGAAAATGGGCTAATGGAATATGTGCATATGTTTTCCTTTTGCTCTCATTTCTCTCATTAATTCCATTCTGTAAATTCTCCTTTTATATCTTTAATTTCCTATTTTCAGCTTCCCCCCTCCCCTCCCCTATATATTTACTCCCCAATAAAATTATTTTTGTGAACTAATGTATGTTCTATGGTATAGACACAACTCTCTGACTGAAGCAAGTTTCAAATTTCCATCTCGATTCCCTGTAATTCTCTCTCTATTGAGCAGACCCTGCAATCTGCACTATAAGTAGGCGGAGATACAGTGCTAGCAAATGAAATTCTCTGGACTTAAAATTGGACTCAAATTGCAATCAATACAATTACTTAATTATGTAAAAATATTACATAAATAAGCACGTAGAATTTAAATATATACATATTTATATATTTGAAGTCTACGTGTATATTTATTAAATTATTTATGTATATGGATATATTTTTTATTATTTTTATGTATTTATATATACACATAGATATATATATATAATTTCATTCTAAGTGTATTTTGATATAAATATATATTAATATCAAAATACAGTTATAATAAAATAACATATATACATAATTTTTTAAATTATTTTTACATTTGATTTACTTATTTATATTTTATAACAATATATATATATATATATATATATACACACATACATACATATATACACATACACACACACACACACGATATATACCTATTATTTATTTATTTATAAAATATTTTACCAGGATGGATACATTGAGATTTCTCTTGTTTTCTAGTATGACCTGGGTCTTTGTCCACAAAACATTGCATTGATACAATAGGATACAATATTACAAAAATACAATATACAAACTATACACATACACACATATATAAATGTAATACATAACAGGTAATAAATATATTCAACCTCGACAGGTGCATTCTGTGCTGAGGTATATTGCCATAGATCTCTTAAAAGATTTTAGATTGAATGAAGATTTGACAGTGTCCCTGAGGTTATTCCATAATTGCCGTGCTCTTTAGGAAAAGGAGGATATAGCCACTTTATTTTTGTATTGCGGTATGCTAAATATCGTGCTAGTAATGGATTATATATATATATATATATATATATATATATATATATATATATACACATACACGCATGCAGGGAGACTGCCTGACAGCTCAGGCAGTCCCTCTGCAGGCAGCACTATGGACCGCTCTTTCAGAGCAATCACACAGCCGGCGGAGGCCTAATTTGCTGACGGTGGACTATCTGGGCTGTCCGGCAGTCCCCCTAGACCAGGAGCAACACCGATTGCCAGCGGGGGAATGGCAGCGATCAGGTAAGTTATAAGGGCGGCTCATACTTGCCACGGACATACTAGGTCCGTCTGCGGTCCTTAAGGACCGTTTTTTTTGTCAGACGTACTAGGTAAGGGGTTAAAGCAAGTAAATTCATATGACGATTCTATATCTTCAATAGCACTAATGGACATATTAAAGGCATTTGTTATGCATTACTTGAATCATTATTTTAAGTAAAGATTTGATTGTTTTGAAGAGCTGGTGGACTGTTTCTTTAGCCTTAAACAAGGAGGAAACTGTCCACTTGTTCACACGGGAATGAGTATGAAATCTAACCGACGAGAAGAATACTAGTAATGTAATTTATTTTACATACCACTAGGTGGGCTATAAACATTTCTTCTCCTGACTGTTCATTCTAATTAGTA